TTTAACTCGACCTGAACTTGAATCAATGATTTCATCATTGGATACAAATGGTGATAGAAAAGTTTCATTTGAAGAATTTTGTAGATTATTTGATTAAAAAGATTTTCTTTTTGTTTCTTTTTTAATTATAAATTTATGTTTTCTAGGTTTTTTTTATCTGCCTACTAATTGAATATGTTTCATTTGAATTATAATATAGAGGTGAACTATTGAAATTTGGCTAGTTATTCTTTTTTGTATGTTCTTGTTACACTTCTTGTTGCAATAGAAATCTATGCGACTTCTAAAATGTCCAAGTATTGAAAAATTTTAAAAGGGTAGGAGCATACTAATACAATTTTTACAAAAAATTACAGTAAATTTCAATTTTCATGGCAAATCTCGGCCTCTATATAAGCAAATTTCTTTAGATAACAAGATAATAAATTAATTAGTGTTCTTTTTCTTTATCCCATAGGAAATCATAGAAGAATAATTGAAGCGAAAATATGCAGATTGAGGAATGCGTGAATGTGGGTGTTGATTTTCTCTTCACTCACACCCGCCCATCCACACCCTACAGCCACACCACACCCACACTTCGACAGTATATGTATCACCGCGTTGTTTTTTTGTCTCCTTTTAATAACATAGAAGAATTACATCGATAATTATTAGAAATTTAGAAAATAACTAAAGAATCTTGTACGAATTCGATCGATAGATCAAATCTAGTCTAAAATATTTCTATTGGTTTAGCTTTAAATCGAAATCTTCATAGTATTCTTCTTGGACCAATCCTTATTTTACGTCGAACAACGTCCAGTCATCAGTCAACATGTTAATAAATGCTGAAAGATTGTTACTATTGAACTTAAGTTTGGTCATCGAGAAGTCGAAAGGAAAAAGATCGTGCAGCAAAGATTATGAAACAGAAAATTATCGAATAGTCCATCTATCAAGACGCATCTTTTTTATTTTTGACATCACACTAACATTCTAACAGAGATTATACAGAAATCAAAAGAAAAAAGTTCGAAAATATCATTTATTCAGTGATGTAGTGAGAATCACCTAAAAATCGAGGATTTTGTCGTAATTGATTAGTCTGATTATTTACGAGATGATATGGTGATGAAATCGGCCGAAAAGACGATTTTTACCAATTTCCATTGGAAATCACGATTCATCAATGACTTTTTATGATTACTAAATTTGGATTGCATTCAAACGTTCTCCAATAATTATGTTGACTAACGACTATCGTCAATTTGATATGTGATAAATCTCATGCACATTTTAATGACAATAATGCAGTTTTTAAACCTAAACTGAAGAAATGAAATAGAATATTACACAATATTTGTCAAACACACTGCTTACTAACCGCGATACTATGTTAAAAAAAGTTTATCGAGAAATACACTAAGCGAAAATTTAAATAGAATTTTAAATATATCTAACCCTTGCTGTATGCTTAGTTTTTTGTTGACAATCACAAACTTGATGTTCCATCTTTTCTAAAATATTTTGATTTCTATTGATTTGCAGAGATTTAAAAAAGTATTTTCTTTCTTTTTCAATCTTGAAACTAAGAAAAGCATGTCTTACATGTCATCACATCATACTGTACAATTTTGAATAGTTCCTGCAGCAGAGCTGTCAGCTTAGTGTACTGCGTGGTAGATCATAAGGCCAGAATAAAGCCTGTAGTCTATGTGGAATGTAATATTATTTACTCTAGTATAACTAGAAAGATACGATGGTGCCAATAGCTCGTTAATTTGTGAGTGTATGGATGTGGATAATCTCTTCATACATATTCACCCACATTCACACGTGCACACCAAGTTATATGTATTGATTTTCAATGATCCATTTCATTATGTATACAATACTGAATCATTTAATGCTAAAATATCTTTGATTTGTTCATCAGTTAAAAAATTATAACCAACTTTATTGTTGAATACTTGTTCAACAACTAGCGTTGCTGGATTAATTGCACGAGGTATAAGTGCTAATTGAGTAATATTAAGAGAAAAAGTAGGTGCCGTTATGGATTTAGTCGTACTAGGTGTTACATAAAAATGATAATCAATGAAATAGATAATTGATTTCGATTTTCCAATAAACTTATCGACTTTATGATATAAAAAAAATCGTCGAATATCTTCTTGAATATTATAAGAAATATTTTCTCCATTATACGATGTTGATAGTGTATTAACATACGGTAAAATTGTTCCGACTTCAGCAATATCAGGACTTGCCGATTGAATATATTCACAAACGTCAGAGTTTGGCGAATCGATACATAAATTGTTATACGGTATAAATATGTGAAAAATTGATTCTTGATATTTTTCATCATATACACCAATTTTGTGAAGAGCAATACTTTTGTCAACATCGATGATAATAGTCGTTGATGATAAACATCTTGCTATGATGAATTTGTCGATTACAAATATAATCAACAATATTGTTTTATATGGAGTTATCATGACTTTTTATGTTTTCTAAAAAGAATGGAGAAAACACTTTCAAATTCAGCAATATGGATAGCTATGATGAAACATATACTCTAGGGAAAATCTTTGATACTTCGGTAGCAGATCTTCGGCAAAACAGATAACGATCTCGGAAGGATTTGTCATTTTTTCCTGAGGAAACGACCGAATCCTGAAAGATGCATGTAGCCACAGTTTATTAGGATTCTGACAGGATGTTAATCAAGAAGCAATTAGGATTCTTAACTGTTTATTATTATTAGAACATCAGGCTCCGCCTAGGAAATCTCGAAATCCCGAAAGAAGCATGTAGCCACGATTTAGCAAGATCCTGTCGGGATTCAAATCAGGAAAAACAAGCATATCAACAATATCATCATTGCTTGAAAGTAAGGATCGTGTCAGGAAACCATTGCGTCCTGAAAGAAGCCTGTAGCCACAGTTTAGCCAAATCCTATCAGGATTCAAATCGGCAAAAACAAGGATATCAACAAGATTACCATTGTTTGAAAATACGGATTTTGCCAGGAAACCATTGAATCCTGGAAGAGCGTGTAGCCACGTAATTGTAGGATCCTGTCAGGATTTCAATAATTAAAAAGTGGAAAGAAAAGATTCCTGATCATATCTTTCAGGATTTTACTGGGTTTTCTTCAAGATGTTATCAAATTTCCTGACAGGATATTTGTAGGATTGAGCTATGTTTTCTTCAAGATGTGATCAGTTTCTTGGCAGGATCTTTGCAGGATTTTCTAAATAGAACATGAGAGAAATGAACACATAGAGTATCGATCTCTTGACCTCCAGTATACATACCGATCAGCTTACCCAGCTGGATGTGCCATGTCATTCCATATCACTTGAACGTTCGATATGTTAATTTTTGACCTTAATCTCAACTTCTATTTAAACTCTATCTGAATACAAACTGTTTCAAAAAATTCTGAAAACTCGATACCATTTTACATATTTTTTTAGTCGCTGACATGTTGCTATTTTTTTTAATTTCAATTTTATTTAAAAAATATTTTTTAAATTTTTTTTGAATTTAATCCTATTTAAAAATATTTTTTGGATTGTTTTTTAGCTTCAATTCGATTTAAAAAATATATTTTGAATTCTTTTCATTCCAACTCGAGTCAAAAAAATATTTTTTGAATATTTTTTGAATGTAATTCTATTTGAAAAATATATTTTGATTTTTTTTCAGACATAATCAAAAGTACAAGCAGTTTTTATCGAAAGATTTTGTGCTGACTAAAACTATATATTTACAGAAGAAAATATTTTACGATGACTAAATTCAAATTAACATCCTAATTTAATAGTTTCAATTTTCTTTTTCTGATAAGCTTAAAAAAGAACTTATTGCTGCAGCCGAATCTCAAAACAACTTATATAAACTAAAAAGCAGTGGCGGATTTAGGGGGAGGGCGCTTGGGGCGATCGCCCCCATTCGAAACAAAAATTTTTGGATTTTCCCAACAGAAAAGTCTTAAAAATAGAGTGCATCCTACTACTAATAAACTTCAAAACTTGCTTTTTGATCAAAATCGCCCCATGACTATCGAATCGCCCCTTATCAAAAAATCCTAGATCCGCCGCTGCTAAAAAGAGATATAGAAAATATTTTTTCTAAGATTTTTAAGATTCATTCTATTAGTGTATGAAAAGAATCGCATCAAGATCAGGATAAAAATGCCACTAGATTGTTCAGTTCTCAGAATTCTGTTGTCTTTCCAATAAAAACACATTAACATCTTAAAAGAGTGTGGGTGTGTTGGTGTAAGTGTGGGTGTGCGTGTTATTATCTTTCTCATACCCACACCCACACCCATACCCACACCCACACCCACACCCACACCCACACCCACACACAGACCCACACCCACACTCCACACCCATCCACACCCACCCACATCCACACCCTCAAGCTCGTTGAAACGAGCTAACACCCACAAACACGCCACCCCCCACCCCCCCACCCTCCCCTCACTCCACACCCCACCTCCACTAGAGCCCGTCGGGTAGGATCCGGACCCGTACCCGACCCGGACCCGCTCGGGTCCGGATCCGGGTTCGGGTCTAAAAATTTCGTTTTGGCCGGGTCCGGGTCGGGTTCCGGGTCTGAAATTTTTTTGTGACCGGGTCCGGGTCGGGTCCAGATCTGAAGAAAACTTTGATGCATACAATGTATTGTGAATTTTCTCAAAGTTTTGTTCGTTTCATGAAGAAAAAAATTGAATGTATTTAGAAAATATACAAAAAAGCAACAAAAGACTTTTTGAATATATTATCGAAACTGATTTATCATCGTGGTTGGATCCAAAAAATTTAAGCGGCCGAGTCCGGGTCGGATCTGGATCCAACATTTTTTAAACAAGCGGGTCCGGGTCGGGTCCGGGTCCAACCTTTTTTAAAAAAGCGGGTCCGGGTCCGGGTACAAGTGTAGCAAATTGTAAACGGGTCCGGGTTCGGGTCCAAAAATTTTGGACCCGACGGGGTCTAACCTCCACACACACATTCACACCGCACATCCCACACCCATACCCACACCCACACCTACACCTACACTCACACTTGTCCACCCACACTCACCCCACACCCATACCCACTCAC